GAGCAGGTTGGGCTGCTGAGGAGACTGGGGAGACTCTGGCATCATGGCAGTTGGACTGTCCATGTAGTCGCAGCGAACCTGGTGCTTGGTGCAGTTGCGGCTGGTAGATGTTAGTACATGAGTCGTGGACAAAGAGATGTTGGTGCTTACCATTGCGGGAATGTTTCATCACAGCGAATATGCCGCCTCTTGCACGTCTTGCAGCCCTTTCGGGACTTGGTATGGCTGCGCCTTGAAGGGCCTCCACCGGGACCAGCCATTTTTCAAGAGGGAGATGAAGTAGTTTAGCGAGAGTGGGAAGTGGACCGTACGGCGTGGTCGTGGTTGCACGTCAGGGCACAGGATCAGTCGTAGGCAGTGTTCTCTTGTTGTGTGGTATGCGAGATGGACGGGAAGGTGGGATAGACGAGGGGCTGTGTATATGCGGGCGGTAGATCTGGCGAGCGGTTGATAAAGCGAGGGTAATGGGGTCGAAACCGGTGACTAAATTGGACAGGGTGTTGATTTGGAGGCTGTTCGTGGGCGTTCTGGTGATATATAGTGCAGAGTGCAGATGGGATGAGCTTAGATAGCTCTAGGGCTGGAGAGATATTGACGCAAGGCCAGCAATACCTCCGGCGGACAGGCTAAGAGGGTACGACAGGACGACGTGACAGCGGAAGTGGTCAAGCTCGTCTGCAACCTACCCCCTGCACAATGACCATGCAGGATGAGGACAAGGCTATGGACTAGAGGCTCGCCAGGCTGAAGAAGGGACTTGGGTGGTATGCGGGCAAAAGCGCAGGGTGACTTGTGCTCGGTCCCAAAGACGACAAACGTCGAGAAACGGGGCCAGGTAGGGTTAGCCTGAGGTAGCGTCCACACAAATAGCAGTGACGCCACGAGCGGCGGAAGAGGGACTTGGGTGGCAGCCCGCGAGACGGGAGAGGCTAGCAGGGAGGGCAGAGAAGCTTGCGGGAGCTACAGACGATGGAGTGACTGATTGCCAGATGGCACCGGCTGGCTCCTGCTCGTATGATATAGCCCCGGTGTAACTCCCGTGGGGATTAAGGTTCCAGCGAGACGTGAACCCTCGCAGTCGGCAGGGCGCTTTCAGACATGCAGCACGGCGTCCCTCAAAGACGATGGACGTGTTTGGATGAATGAAGCGGCCCCTGTCGGGCGAGGGTTGAGCCCAGGGCTAGGGTGCAGTGTGAAGGTGCTAGTTCGCCGACGGCCATGTCGCAGAAAGCAGCCTTTGGTGGCCTTCTGGTCAAAGCCCCTGTCAATCCGCTTGGGACGGAGACGTTTGAGCGTGCAGGTGCATGAGCCGCTCCAGCTGGGGCTCGGGCTCAGAGCGCAAGAGGCGTGAAAAACGGCCATTCAGGTCCGACGACCGAGGAAACGCCAACAGCTGCGCGGGCCGTGCGTGGAGAACGATCGACCAGTAGCACCTGGATAGCTCGCTGGCCATGCTGTAACGGGTAGTTGGAAGCCGCCTGCGGAATAGTGGGTGAAGGAGGCCGCCATGCTTGCTCGCCGGGTCAGCTTCGGGGCGCGCGCGCTGCTAATTTTTCAGACAGCTCCAGAGCCCTGAGTGAGGTGGCAGCGCCCACGCGTGACGGGCGTGACGGGCGACCACGGGCGACATGGATGCCCGAGATCTCATCAACGCGAAATGCGAAGCTGGACTCTGCCAGCGACGTCGGTCGAATCAGACTGACGTTGCTGATGCGATGCCACCAGCGATCGCTAAACACTGCGGAAGCCGGGGCCCTCAATATCTCGCGGTCAAAAATAGCCCTCCGTGCGTCACCTGTCACCAGACCGCACGCAAAAAGGGTCTACACTCTCATCGCGCTGATTTTCCATCGATACTACGCTGGCCCATCCTCACGCCGCTATCCTCATACCGCTCCTTCGCATCCAGTTGCGCCGAGCAGTGGCGGCGGACCTCGCTCTATTCCTGTCTCCGCTATCGACGGAAGGGCGCCGCGCGATGATTAAGCGTGACTTCCGCTCCCACTCGTGGTGACTTCGCCTGTGGCATCGCGAAACGCCATCGCATCACTGGGTAAACAACCTAGGAACCTCCCCCGCTGGCAATATCTCATGCAGCGGAGAATGCTTGCTGGCGGGGCCTATACAGTAACTGAGTAATTACGCGACCCTGCTCGTGGGCGCCTGACACAACAGCCTGCATCCACACATCGCAGCTGCTGTGACGATATCTCGATTTCGTCGCCGACATCCTCATAGGGCTGTACCTATGACGTTGTCTATACGCGCGATACCGTCGCGACCGTCGCGTGGTGGAGCACAAGTAGCTGCCACGAGATACGAGTTCTAAACCAGGAACCAGTGGCATCGCGGCGGCACCCGTCGCCTACCTACCAGCTACCTCTTGCAACCACCGAGGCTAAAACTCTACTAGATGACATAGCGGAATGCGCGAAAGCAGGTTCATGCGACAACATGTGTATTCGCAGGCTAGTCTTCCTTCAGCCACACGCCTACGTCGAGCTGGTGTTTGGTTGTCATAGATCCGTGGTGGCTATTCTTAGGATTAAGGTCCTTTTACCCTGGGAGTTTGCAGCCGACCATGCATCTAGGGCTACCCATGCAGCCATGTTTTCTCTGGGGTTCTGCGACTAGGGTTACAAGACACCTCTCCACTCGCATCTTTCGTCCATCGTCGCATCGGTCTTTTCCGATGGCCTATTCGCCTTTTCAGCGTAGCCTCAGCATAGCTCCAGCGTACACTAAGCCAGCGCACTACTAACCGACTCAGCGATTCAGCAACCACAAAAAACATCCGAACGTTACTATACATATATTTTATGACGTCTGGAGAGGCTTCATGTCGCGACACCACACCGTCAGTCACACGACAACAAGACATCGCAGCCAAGCCGGTTACCAGATGCAAGTTTTGACACAAAATGTCGAGTTTTCAGCGCGGCGCGCAATACACATTCCCCAGCCATCTGCAAGCCACACTTTGCACCTGCACGACCATGCAAAGCATCCCTCTCCACCCGTCGGCCCAGAGCTATAAAAAGCGTCGCACCCTGAGCTACCATTGGCGCGGAAGCGATTTCTACCGGCAAGTGTGGCAGGCGACACAGAGAAATCACACAGACACTTCCTCTTCTCCGCCCTCACGGGCCATTGCGTGCACTGTGATGTGACCTGTCAATTCCTCCGAACGCTTTGGGGGGTTTTGATCCACCGGCCGAACATGCACCACTACCGATTGCAAAATCAACATCTTGATATTCACGCATATCTGCTATGTATCGTCGATCTCACATCCCAGACACACACCACCACCCCATCATACTCACCCCTCCAATCCTCCATATTGCCAATATATCGCCCGCTACAAAACCCGCCAATGCAAGCCCACCCGCCTGAACCTTACACTAGAAGCTACAATTATCATTCACCCCAATAAGCCTAAAGGCAATGCCAATACCAATACCTCGCGTCCAACCAAACCATGTATGCCATAACTAAACGATATCGTAACCTGATACATAACCCAATGTTTTGCGTTGGTGAGCAATACCTCCGTAACCTGAAACATTCGGCCTCGGCCGTAATATCACTCATCTGGCAGGTAATCAGGCCGATAGCCTTGTTCGCTATTCCAAGGTTCTTTCAATAGATTAAGTGACCCCACACGTGATCGACGACCAGTATGCTGAGTCAGTCACCACTCACGGATTCTTTCGCTTTTTGGCGAGTCGTGAATGCATGGTCGTTCAGCATGGACGTTCGGCATGGGAGATACGGTAGTCTATGGCTTTCTCCATGAATATTGGGTGGCCTGATACCGGTGTTGTGTTTCAGATCGTGGGCGATGTTACATGCTGGTGAAGGTGGGGGGGAGAGGGGAGTTTCAGCTGGATATGTTCATCGGCGGTACCGGGCGCTTGGGGTGGATATGTGTGGGTGTGGTTTGTGCGGCTTGTGCTGTGGATGGTGGATGGATGGGTGGTTTATGTCATTAGTTGTGTGGGAACTGGATTCTTCGAAGAGTGAGGTATGCCCCGGGTATGTGAACGTAAGAATGTCTTTTTTATTTCTCACAACGGCCAAAAGGGAGCTCTTGGTTCTTCCATATTCGTTTTGACGCACATGTCTAGATCCTGTGACTTTGTAGCCACTGGATATATTGTAGGAACATAGCAACGACGAGATGACTGTGTACTCTTGGTCTCAAATACTCCAAATGAAAAAGGAAGAAACTTAATGGGTTCTATCATGTGCGGTACCTCGTACGTCATCAATAAACATCCTGCCACGATGCTACACAGAGCAACACTGACTCGCCATCCTATATTATGATGAGCGTAGATGTTGGAGCTTTCGTCCAACCTATGTCATCGTTCTGCGACGTGGTTGCGTCCAAAGCCACAGTCTCTGAACCGATCTCTGTATCCAAAGCCACAGTCTCTGCACCGATCTCTTAATCCTCGACACAAGAAACCGATACCCCTTCGGGATCGCCATCCCGAACTCATACAGAAAATACACTATTGCAGCAAACAACGCGAATGCCTGGTCGAACTCCGACGTCTTAACGGGCGTACACGGCACAAGCAAGCACCTCCCCTTCAGCCCCCTCTCCACGAAAACCCCAACCAAGACTGCCCATACGCATCGCCCAATCAAGGCCGCCCCAATCAAGACATCATACAGCGGACTGTACATCGCACCGAAATCTGTGGGCAGGTTGCCATAGATTGAAAGCACGAGCATGCTCAGCACGATCATGACCGACGTCGATGCCAACTGGTCCATGATTTTTATAACGCCGCCCACCCACGGCGGATCCACGTCATGACGGTGATCAAGAAGATAGAGATACAGGGCAATCAAGGGAAGAATCTGACCCACGAATATGATGAGATTGCGGCGGACAATGGCAAGGTCGACAGAAGACTTTTTACTGCCGATGGCGCGAAGATTCTTCCGTATGGCGAACAAGAGTTGGGCGCTTGCGTTCAGAGAGCCTAGGTTGAGAATGAACTAGCGGCGCGTGATTGTACCCACTGCGACATGAGTTGGCGGCAGGCTTCCATGTGAGTGGCGAGGTGGGTTTGGTAGTCCTTCGTACTACGACTCTTGTCTTGAGGTGTGTTGGGGGATGCCTGTTCCTCGAATTCCGTTGCATTCCATTGCCATGGCCCAAATCGAGCTGTTGCTAGTGTAATACTCTCCTCACTACCAATGCCGGTCGTCCGCACTGTACAAAGACCCTCCTTATCTCCTGCTTCCCCAAGGGTTCGAGAAAGAGGTATCCCCGCTTCCGCTGCTTGACGAAGCGACTCCTTCACACCTGAAGCTAGCTTGTCAAATTTGCGATCCATGTGGAGGTTGCGGAAGACATCGATAGTAGCTGCGTTCATATATATGAAATAGGTAATAAAGTGGAGGTTGTGCGTGTACTCGTCGCGGATGATAGGTGCCCAGGATGCGATAAGCGTCACGTACCAGGCTGCCCATGTGCCGGGGCCATAAAACCCGCTGACAGTGAGAGTTTCGAAGTCATCCTGGGTTATGTTGTTGTAGCTGGAAAGGGCGGCCATAGTAGCGGGCAGATGCAGGTGCGCGGGGCTCTGCGGGAGCCTGAAGAGGATGGATGTTTGATGTTGTCGAAGTGGCGCAGTTCACCGCATCGCCTACAGCCTTAGGCGACGAGAAGTTGAGCAACCCTGCGCCATGCTCATATTATGCAGTCAGATTGTAACGCGCAGAAATGATGTACAAATCGGATAGACACGAAAACAAACGCTGTAAAATGAGTCATCGCACCTCTCCATAAGAGCGAGTAGCACGAAAGAACAGTACTAATACTGCGGCTGAATTGACATACATAGAATACTAGCTCTACATCATATGTTATCATCGGGGCAGACTCTCTAGAGGTACCCCCGCCCAAGTCGTGTGATGAGCCTTCGCCCCAAAAAGCAGCTTCTCAAACTGAAGCCTCAAAAGCCCACAGAGCCTAACGAGCAACGGGCCAAACTCATAAAGAAAATAAAGAAGCGCGGCGAACAACGCGAACGCCTGATCCAGCTCCGTGATCTCAGAAAGCGTATGTGGCTTCAAGCCGCATCTTAGTCCCTTGACCGAACTACATCGAAGTAAGATCACCAAAAGCGCGTAACCGCCTGTACAAAGGAGTGCGGAGATGGATGCAAGAACGTGCTTGAGCACAGTATTCATGCGAGGTGGTAGCGGAGTGAAAACGCTGCCGTACTGATGACCCAACGTAGTCGTTATCATGAGTCCCATGGTAAACACTGTGGTGCCTGACCATCCGGTCATGATAGCTCCATTATGGCGTATTGCATCTATCAATTGCATGATCGAAGGCAGGACCAGGCCCGTAGTTATAATCAAAATGCGTCTTTGGCTTGATTGCACTGTTTCGCTTGGATTGTCTTTGTGCGTCTTCCATATGCAAACCAACATCTGCATCCATGCATGCGGCATGCCAAGGTTCAACACTGCCAGCGCTGCCTGTAGTTGATGCATCTGGTTGCGGAGTAAGGACTGTTGTTGTCCAAAGGTTTCTATGGCTTTGGCGAGTTGAGTTTGAACTCTTGCAAGTTCACTCGTAAGGTCTTCTGTTGTAGGCATCGAGTAAAAGTCCCATAGTCCGGGGGATGCTTCTGTCGTATCTCCGATGTGGATTTCGGCATCTTGCGCTTCAAGCGTGGTATTCGTCAGGACTGTGTCCACGTCCCATAGTCTAGGCTTATCCCAATCTGACGGCCAGTGCTGTAGGAAGACCAATGTATCGGCATCTTGTCTGACACTGACGAACCGCTCTCGTTCTAACGCTTCCTTTCTCGATACTAGTTCGACGAGCTTTCCTCCGAAGGATAGATATCGGAAAGAGTCTATTGCTGCCCAGTTCATGTATAACGCGTATGCGATGAGGTGGAGATTGTGTGTGTCATCTTCGAGTAGGATCGGTGCCCAAGATGCGATGAGGCTGATGCACCAAGCTGCCCATCCGCCTGGACCGTAGAAGCCGCTAATCACCCAATCTTGGTTGCCAGCTTCGGTGCCGTTACAGACAGCACTGGTCATGGTAGCGAAAGACACAAAGAAGAAGAGAGCGCGCTCTTGATTAGAATAGGTCCTGATTTTGGTTCCGGCTGATCATCGAGATTGTCTTGGGGTATACGTTATGATTGCGATAGTTTTGATGTCGCGAGAAACGCAGCCGTATGCTCATGGGTGAAAGTTGCGGGACGATGTTGATGAACGGAAAGAGAGATGGAGTCGCGCGGTATACATTGAAAGTCGCGAAGAAGATGGTTGTGATTGGAAGGAGACACGGTCGTTGACGCCCACGTGGCGCACCTCACTGTTTCACTTGGGGGCTGAGCAATCTCGCTTCACACCTAGGCACCTTTGGAAGGCAGCATCAAGCAAGCCACGTCCATCAAGAGGAACCGAGAAAACAACAACACCATTGTTCCCCGGTATTGCTTTCATCAGTGTCTCGCTTGCCGCATACGTACAGGCTGTCAAGGTCCAACAACTGCTTACAAACACATTGTAGCTGGCAAGCTCCTTGCCGCATCTTATCACACAAGCAGCACAACGCCACCATCATCGCCTCGTTACTCCTCTTTACTCACAGAGCGATCTTCAACATAGGTCGAATTACTGATCATTATGCCGCAGGATATTTCCACTCTCCCGAGAGAATTCTCGGTGTTGGAGCGTAATCTCCACGACTTCACATTGTAGCCACACGAAGAAAGCGAGGCGGGCAAACGTGGCTGATCTCGAAAACTGGTTTGCTCTTTGCGTAGCCGCTTTCCGTTCGTGATCGCGGTTTCGTAGACTTCGAGAGGGCTCGACATCTTGCGAAAGTTACGGTGTGGTCTACAGATGAGAAAGCCTGGAAGGCGATGGTCAAGACGACATACCTACATGAGGTAGGAACTATCGAGAAGCTCTTCATGGATGATACACGTGACTTCTCTGCTCTGTCCACATTATCTTCTTTCCGTTCTCCCTCGCATGAATCATTAAGCAGAAATCCAAATCTTGAGTGGTAACACTCGTAGCTCTTCGAGCTACTATTGGGGGGGGGGGGGGGGGGGGGGGGGGGGGGGGGGGGGGGGGGGGGGGGGGGGGGGGGGGGGGGGGGGGGGGGGGGGGGGGGGGG